AAAATACACAGGAATAAGCTTAACAAAGAAGACAAGACTTGTACACTGAAAATAACAAACACAGCTGAAAGAAACAAAACACACAAATGGAAAGAAACCGCATATTCACAGATTGGAAAACTTAATATATTTAAGATGTAAATATCACCCAATGTGATCCACAGACATAACAAAATTTTTATCAAAATCCCACCCAATGGCATTTTTTTTTTTGGTGCAGAAATAGAAAAATCCATCCTAAAATTCATATGTAATCTCAAGGGACTCTGAATAAACATACCAAGTATGTTTTCTGACCACAATGGTATGAAACCAGAAAATAAAGAAAACTGGAAACTCACAGCCCCACCCCGGAAATGCTGGCGCTATGGAGCAGCAGAGGGGAAAGAGCGCCAACTGGGGTCACGCCAGTCTCCACCAGGACAGCACCCCTGCAGGCTCCAGAGGTGTGTCAAATCAGATGCCTGCTCCTCAGGTTAGCACCACAAGACTGGCAAATGAAACTCTCTCACACGGAGTCCCCCCGCACCTTGACCGCGGCTTTCTCCTGAGTTCCCAGGATGGTTGCCTTTTAGATTTGTTGATGGTTTCCTTCACTGTGCAGAAGCTTTTTATTTTGTATGGAACCACAGAAGACCCTGAATAGCCAGAGCAACCTTGAAAAATACCCCAAATAGCCAAAGCAACCTTGAAAAAGCAAAGCTGGAGGCATCACAATTCTGAACTTCAAATTGTATTACAAAGTGGTAGTGATCAACACAGTATGATACTGGCACAAAAATAGACACATAGATCAATAGAACAGAATAAAAAAACCCAGAAATGAACCCACTACTGCATGGTCAATTAATCTTTGACAAAGCAGAAAAGAATATCCAATGGGAAAAAGATTGTCTCTTCAACAACTGGTGTTGGGAAAACTGGACAGCAACATGCAAAAGAGTGAAAGTGGAACACTTTTTTATACCATACACAAAAATAAATTCAAAATGGATTGAAGACCTAAATGTGAGACCTGAACCATAAAAATCCTAGAGGAAAGCATAGGGTAACCTCTTTGACATTAGCCACAGCAACTTCCTTCTAGATATGTCTCCTGAGGCAAGGGAAACAAAAACAAAAATAAACTATTAGGACTTTTCTCTTTATTTAGAAATAAATTGTAAAGAAGCACATACTGATCAAATAATTGATTTAGAAAAACATTTAGAGAGGGACACCTGGATGGTTCAGTCGGTTAAGTGTCTGCCTTTGGTTCAGGTCATGATCCCAGGGTCCTGGGATCAAGTTCCTCATTGGGCTCCCTGCTCAGTGGGGAGTCTGCTTCTACCTCTGCTGCTCCCCGTGCTTGTGCGCTCTTGCTCACTTACTCTCTCTCTGACAAATAAATAAAATCTTAAAAAAAAATTATAGAAACTTAATGAGTCTACTTATAAAAAAAGACTGGAAACTCACAAATATATGGAAATTTAACACATACCTGAACCAAGATATTTTACAAATATCTTGAAGCAAATGAAAATGGAAACACAATTTACTAAAACCTATTGGATGTAGCAAAAGCATTTCTAAGCAGGCAGTTTACAGTGATAAATACCTACATTAAGAAACAAAGATCTCAATCAACTTTACACCTCAAAGACATAGAAAAAGAAAAGATTTAAGCCAAAAATTAGCAGAAGGAAGGAAATAATGAAGTCAGAGCAGAAACAAAAGAAATAGAGACCAGAGAAACAATAGAAAAGATCAACAAAACTAAAAGCTGGTTTTTTGAAAAGCAAAATTAACACACCATTAGTCACACTAAGAAAAAAGGAGATAAGACTCAAGTACAATTAGAAATGAAAGGAGACATTATAACTGATAACACAGAAATACTACAGATCATGTCACTTAGAACAATTATGTCAATAAACTGCATAACCAAGAAGTAAATTTCTAGAAACATACAACACATGAGACTGAACCATTCATAGAAAATCTTAACAGACCAATAATGAGTAAGAGACTGAATCAGTAATCAAAAACATCTTAACAAAGAAAAGCCCAGGACCATGGGACGCCTGAGTGGCTCAGTCGGTTAAGCAGCTGCCTTCGGCCCGGGTCATGATCCCAGGGTCCTGGGATCGAATCCCACGTCGGGCTCCTTGCTTAGCAGGGAGCCTGCTTCTCCCTCTCTCTCCCTCTGCTTGTGCTCTCTTTGTCAAATAAATAAAATCTTAAAAAAAAAAAAAAAGAAAGAAAGAAAAGAAAAGCCCAGGACCAAATAGTTTCACTGGTGAATTCCACCAAGTATTTAAAGAATTAACAACAATCCTACTTAAACTCTTCAAAAAAACTGAAGAAGGGAACACTCCCAAACTCATTTTACAAGGCCAGCATTACTCTGACACCAAAGCCAGATAAGGGCACTACAAGAAAAGCCCAACATTCCTGATGAATATAAATGCAAATTCTCAACAAAATATAAGCACACAGAATTCAACTGCACATTTAAAGGGTCATACACCATGATCATGTGATTTATACCTGGGATGCAAGCATGTTTTAACATATACAAATTGATAGAGGTAATCACATTAACAGAATAAAGGATAAAAAAAATCATCTCAACACTTTGCAGAAAAATTGTCAAAAATTCAACATCCTTTCATGATAAAAATTCTCAAAAAATTAGTCACAGAAAGAACGTACTTCCACATAATGAAGGCAATATATGGCATGCTCAGAGCTAACATCATAATCAGTGGTGAAGAAAGCTTTTCCTCTAATATCAGGAACAATGCAAGGATGCCCATTCTTGCCACTTCTATTCAACATAGTACTGGAAATACACATTTCTAGACATGATGTATTTTTCATGCCACTGTAACTGATATCCTTAAATTTTCATTTTATATCTATTGCATAAGCTTTATTTTTGAAAACTTTATATACAGAAACATTGTTACTTCCTATTTCTAATAATTAACCTATACATTTTCATCTTATGCATATAATTTTATCAACAAATAATGTTTTATTACTTTCTAATCAATTATACCAATTTTTTCTTGCCTGATTTTCCTGACTAGGTCTTTCAATGCAATGTTGAATAAAACTGGTGAAAATAGGCATTCTTTTTTCCAGACTTTAGAGGAATAATTTTCTATACACCAATAAGTATTAGATTTTGCTATATTTTATGGCAATATATAGTACATATTATGTCATGATCAGATCAGTGAGGTTTCCTGGAAGGTGAAAAGGCAAAATGGAAGGCCCATGAGAAGGTAAGAACTCGAGTCCTTATTTTCCTTACATAATTTCTTAAGTGTTACTATATTATCATTTCCTTCTCACATTTCTGTATGTTCCTGAGAGACCCTGATTTTCCCATGCTTCCATAGTAAGGGCCAGGTAGGGCCAATTTCCATCAAGACCTCTCAAAGCAGATCACTCCATGGTACATGCCTGAAGGTTTTATTTCCCAGGTCCAAATGGCCAATTATATCCAGTATAAATAACTGTTTACAATGACACAAAGAATTTTCTCACACACATTTGCATATCTTTATGAGGTATGCTATGTCCTCTGCAGAGGTTCCCATACAGAGTCTTACTTCTCAGAGTAAACACTGGGGCCCTACAGAGAAACAGTCAGCTAAGAAGGACATATGAAGGAATCAAGTAGGAACTTTCTGGCAGAAACCATATTTAGCCACACAGGTCACTACATCCCTGCTACATATGACTTCTCCCCATCAAGATGCTTTCCTAAAGATTCTTATGGAGAAGGGTTGGGCCCACAACGAAGAATACAGAAACATTTTAGAGATAGCAGATAGGATTCATACCTGCCCATGTAGGCTATCCCAGGCATGTCTTCCACATTCCCTATGGATTTTTCTCTGAGGGCCACTCAATTCTCAGGAAAAGAATTGGTGCTTTTGGGAAAGGGTAAAACAGGATCTGTGATGGCATCATACAGGGTCTTTATGTGCAAGCACCATAACATACATGTGTTTGCAAAATAAAAAGTGAGGTCTCCATAACGTATGAGTTAGGCCACCAGACACAAGGGCAGTGTTAATGGAAAAAAGACAGAAAAGGAAATCAGGAGAATCAGAAACACAGTGTCTGGAATGCAAATCAAGTTTAAAGGTGTACACCTGGGGATTAGCAACCTCCTTCAAAAGAACAGAAAGGGAAGATAAAGGGGACAAATATGAGCTAAAAACATGTCTCTGCCAGAATTTTATATATAGATCAGGGAACAGATACTGTGGATGAAAAAAGGTTTCCCTGAAGTTACAAAATTGGTGAGTGCTGGAATAAGCATTAAAACCCATGGCTATCTACGTCTTTTCATCACACCAAGTTCCTAGAGGGGAGGAGTAAAAGCAAATAGCAAGAAGTGTCAATTCCAAGATCCTGGGTCTATCCACTGACACAGATCAACTTATATTCCTGAAATGAAACAAACAAACAAAGAGACCACATTTATTGGACCTTATCAACCCATCTTTCCATCTACCTACAAGAATAATTTTACAGATACCCTTAGGGGTAACAAACAAATCCTTCCCCCAGGCACAGTTTCTAGGTCATGGCATCTTTTGACTCAAGCTTTCTTCATGTCCTCTATGGGGAATTACTGCACAGCTATAAATTATGCTAAGTTAACAGTAACAATATTCTCACATGTCCAATTCTTATTATGTAACATAATCATAAATACATAACTTCAAAATAAACTATGTATGTAACTTGTATATTAATCATTCAGTTCACAATCTCAAAAGTTTTACATGCCATAGCGAAAATGCCCATTATTTATATAACAGATGTATTATCTCTGATAAAAAAATTGCATACATTAGGAAGTTTATTTCACTTCTAAAATTTTATCAGTAAAGATGCCCCCAAACTCATTGAAATTCATGGGTTTTGTGTTACTTATTAAGGCTTGAGCAGATACTGAAGACTCTTCTGTGCTTAGTCCATTCTTATGATTTTACCACTGCATGAATTCTCTGGTGTACAGTGAGTTGTGACTTTTGAATGAATGCTTTCCCACATACAGCACACCGATAGGGTCTCTCCCCAGTATGAATTCTCCGATGTACAACAAGGTCTGACTTCTGGGAAAAGGCCTTTCCACATTCAGCACATACGTAAGGTTTCTCTCCTGTATGAATGCGCTGATGCCCTGGGAGGTGGGACTTCTGAGAGAAGGCTTTCCCACATTCACTGCATACGTAAGGTTTTTCTCCTGTGTGAATTCTCTGATGTCCAATGAGATGTGACTGCTGACAGAAGGCTTTTCCGCATTCACTGCATTTATAGGGTTTCTCTCCAGTATGCGTTCTCTGATGTATGATGAGCTGTGACTTCCGGGAGAAGGTCTTTCCACATTCAGTACATTCATAAGGTTTCTCCCCAGTATGAATTATCTGATGTATAATGAGTTCTGACTTCCTGCTGAAGGCTTCCTCACATTGAGCACATTTGTACGGTTTCTCCCCAGTATGAATTCTTTTATGAATAATGAGGTGGGACTTCTCACAGAAGGCTTTCCCACATTCAGTACATTCATATGGCTTCTCTCCAGTATGAGCTCTATGATGTATTATCAACTGTGACTTCTGGGAGAAGGCCTTCCCACACTGATTACATTCATAAGGTTTCTCTCCAGTGTGAATTCTCTGATGTATAATGAGGGGTGATTTCTGGGAGAAGGCTTTCCCACATTCACTGCACTCATATGGTTTTTCCCCAGAGTGAACTCTCTGATGTATAATGAGGGATGATTTCTGAGAGAAGGCTTTTCCACATTCAGCACATTCATAAGGTTTCTCCCCAGTATGAGTTCTCTGATGTACAATGAGATGTGACTTCTCACTGAAGGCTTTCCCACATGCACTACAATCATATGGTTTCTCTCCAGTATGAATTCTTTGATGTATTATGAGTTGTGACTTTTTTAGAAAAGATTTTCCACATTCAATGCATACACAGGTCTTCTCTCCACTTTCAACATTCACATATTGAATAAGAGATTGTTTATTGCTGATAATCTTTCCACACTGACTATCTTCACAGTGTTTCACTCCATTATGAATTTTTTCATGCTTAGAATAGGAAGAAATAGATGTACTCCCACATCTAAAATTCTCACCAGTGTTTTTTCTTGCATAACCCCTATTACAACTGAGTAAGTTTATATTAGGTTCCAAGCTCTTTTCAAATGAGTCACATGTATACCGTCCTTGTCCTGAAGCATCTAGGTCTGTGTAGTCATGAAACATTTTTCCTAATGCCTTATATGAATAGCCTGATTCTTCAACAACTGTTTTGTTTTTGATGGCCATGACTTGCCTGAGAAGTCTGTCGTCATTTTCCTGATCTCTCTCCAGCTGGTCATCATCCTGCCATTCCTTAAAAATGGAGTACAATGAATGATCTCTTGTTACACCTTCCAATATCTCCTTAGGGAAGGAAACACCTTCAAGTATGTCCAATTGAGGATTTTCAAGTCTAGTCTCCCTCTCTGAAAGAATAAAAGAAAAATCAAACAGATAAAAAGATTTAGTAGAGGACAAAAGAGGTTAAAAACAAATGGATGATACATGATGGTCCAGGAGACAGAACTGGGAGGGCAAAGGGCCATTTGAAACATGTAAATTTATCACATAAGTAACTAAAGATGGACTTTACTTCCAACAGTGGTGGCATGAAGTAGTTGAAGAATTCTCCTCCCCAAAAAACAAGTACAAAAATAAAATGATTAAAAAGCAAAAACTAATTTAGGGCACTGAAAAACTACCAATGGGAGGTAATAAACTGCAAAGTGCTTACTTACCCAAAACTTCTACTTCATTAGGTAAGAATGGGGAGCTTGTGGCATTCTTTCCTAAGGTTTTCCCATCTCCCACCCCTAGTTATGGGGCATTAAAACACTAATCCACAGGATACAGCGTAATGCTGTTAGTAAAGCAGCTAGAAACTTAATGGGAGTTTGGAAGTAAAAGAGTCAAAGAAAAGTCGAGATGATAAACTCTCCCTATACTCCCAACTCATCACTAAAATATTTGTGCAAAGATATCCTAGAGAGCCTAGCAGTGATTGAAAGTTTGGAGAGTCTCGCAAATTAGCTATATTTTTAAAGTATTCTGACACATACACAACTCAGGCAGCAAAGAGTAAAAGTCACGCTGGCTTCTGATGTCTAATACAATCTCTGTCCAAATCACTAGCTCACCTCTACATTATCCAGGTGAAGGGGAGTCTCTTGAGAGCCAGACTTAAACAAACAAGCAAAAACCAGAGACATCAGCAATGACACTCTATGGGAGAGACAGATGTCACAGTTTAAGCTCAAGCAAGTTAAATGTCTCTAAGACAAGAAAGAAACGCTTGGAAGATCAGAAGAATCCAGACTACAACACATCATCTACAATGTAGAATTTTCAACCAAAAATTACTAGACATAGAAAGAAACAGAAAACTGTGACCTAAACTAAGGAATAAAATCAATTAATAGAAAGTAACTCTACGTGGGCACAAATGCTGAATTTTGTAAACAAAGCTCCCAAAGAAGCTATTATAAACATATTAACTCAAAAGAAAAGACTGCTAGGCAATGAGTACACAAATATGTAATTTTAAAGGAGAAAAAAGTATATAAAGGAACTAGTTTGACTACAGGGAGACAGAAAGAGGAAATTTTGAGTATGAGAACTTTTTTGTATTATGATTATGGTACTAGTTAACTTACTCTATGCTGAACATTAATTTTGTGTAAGTTAAAACATAAAAGAACCAAATGGAAAGTCTAAGGCTAAAATTAAAATTTCACCAGATGGGCTTATTAGATTTGAGAAAGCAGAAAGTAAGATCAGAATCAGGAAATTTGAAGATATCACTAAAAATTAACTAACCCAAAGAACAAAAAGAAAAAAGGATTATAAAAAAATAAAACTTCAGAGATCTGTGGTGTAATAATAGGCATTCCATCCAGTATATGTGTAACTGGAGTGGTAGAAAGAGGGGAGAGAAAAAGGCAAAAAAGAAAATAAAAGAAAAATTGTCTTTAAAATCACCCAATTTGGTGAGAAATGTTAATTTACATATCCAAGAAGCTCCATAAAATACAGGCAGGATACCTAGATAACTAGCCACATCAAAATCAAACTGCTGAGAAATGGAGAGAAAAAACTTGAAAGCAGTTAAGAAAAAAAATGACACATCATGCATAGGAGAAGAATAGTACTTCCAGCTGAGTTTCAACACACTCAAAAACTCTGAGGCCAGGAAACACTGGAACAACATATTCTAAATACTAAAAGAAAGCAACCTGTCAACCAAGAATTCTATATCCAGTGAAACTCCTTTAAACATGGCAAAATAAAAGCATTTGCAGATAAACAAAAATATTCGCTAGCAGAACTGATTTACAAAATATACAAAAGAAAATCTCTGTCTGACGAAATAGTACCAGATGATACCTTAAATCCATAGGACACTAACAATTTTTTTAGTGTGTAGGTAAATATAAGGAATTTAAATATGTCTGCCTTTTCTCTTTTTCTTTTCTGCAAAAAGCTTTTTAAAGCAAAAATAAAGAAGAAAAGATGGCGGAGGAGTAGGGGACCCTATTTCAACTGGTCCCGGGAATTGAGCTGGATATCTACCAGACCACTCTGAGCACCCACGAAACCAGCCTGAGATGTAAGAAGATCTGGATCTCTACAAGCAGAATATCGCAGGTGGTTTGGTTTTGAGGTAGGAAGCAGGGAACCGTGATTCCACGGGCAGGTATCGGAGGATAAATGGCAGCGGGAGGGAGCCTGGCCGTGAGGATCCTACACCGCTGGTGAAGGACAGCCTCACGCACTGGGGATGGGGCACAGACTCGCAGACCCGTAGCAGCGGGGAAAGGACTTTAGGGCAGCCCTGGGGCGGAAACCTGGAGCGGTGGGGTTGTGCACGCGCGAGCGAACTGGGAGCAGCTGGCGGTTTTAGAAGCACAAAGGGCAGAGACAAACCCGACCTGGAGGCGAGGACTGGGAGCTGTGCGGAGGGATGCACAACCCATGACGCTGCAGTTTATAGCAGCACAGACAGAAACGGAGACAGTGTGGCCTGGAGACCTCACTGAAGAACAGAATGCGGTCTCTCTGCTCTGAGGCAGAGGGTTGGAAACAGTCTCTTCTGCTCTCTCAGAAGAGACGCGGAAAGCCGCCAGGGAAAGTCACCAAAGAACAAAAGCCCCCCAAAAATGATTCCCACTGAGCCCATCCCCGGCCACAGGGGGGCAGGGCAACTCTGCTCAAACAGGGTTGCCTGAATAACAGTGCGGCAGGCCCCTCCCCCAGAAGACAGGCTGGGAAAACAAGAGCCCGGCAACCTTAAAGTCCCAAGAAAATAGGTGCATCTTGCTTGGGTTCTGGTCAATAATTTGGACTCTATACATTCCCTCAACCACCCCTCAACAGAATGACTAGGAGGAGGAACCCCCAAAATAGAAAAGGCTCAGAGATTATGACTTATGCTACAGATTTACAAATGGATGCAGATATAACCAAGATGTCGGATATGGAATTCAGGCTAGCAATTGTGAAGACAATGGCTAGAATGGAGAATTCAATTAATGGTAACATAGAGTCTCTAGGGCAGAAATGAAAGCTGAATTGGCAGAACTTGAAAATGCTACCAATGAGATCCAATCCAATCTAGATAATCTAACAGCTAGGGTAACTGAGGCAGAAGAACGAATAAGAGACCTGGAAGACAATTTAATAGATAAAAGGGAAAAGAGGAGGCCAGGGAAAAACAACTCAGAATCCATGAAAATAGAATCAGAGAAATAAGTGACACCATGCATGAAGCGTTCCAATGTCAGAATAATTGGAATCCCAGAGGGAGTGGAGAGAGAGAGAGGACTAGAGGATGTATTTGAGCAAATCATAGCTGAGAACTTCCCTAATCTGGGGAATGAAACAAACATTCACGTCCTAGAGGCAGAGAGGACCCCTCCTGAGATCAAGGAAAACAGGCCAACACCCCGGCATGTAATAGTAAAACTCGCAAATCTTAGAACCAAAGAAACCATCTTAAGGGCAGTTAGGGGGAAGAGATTCCTTACATACAGAGGGAGAAACATCAGAATAATGTCAGACCTATCCACAGAGACCTGGCAAGCCAGAAAGGCCTGGCAAGACATATTCAGGGTACTAAACGAGAAGAACATGCAGCCAAGAATACTTTATCTGGCAAGGCTGTCAGAATGGTTGGAGAGATGCAGAGCTTCCATGACCAGCAGAAACTGAAAGAGTATGTGACCACTAAGCCGGCCCTGCAAGAAATATTAAGGGGGGTTCTATAAAAGAAGAAAGACCCCAAGAGTGATATAGAACAGAAATTTACAGGCACAATCTATAAAAATGACGTCTTCACAGGCAACATGACAATTAATTCATATCTTTCAATAATCACTCTCAACGTGAATGGCCTAAATGCTCCCATAAAACGGCACAGGGTTGCAGATTGAATAAAAAGACAGGACCCATCCATATGCTGCCTACAAGAGACTCATTTTGAACCCAAAGATACATCCAGACTGAAAGTGAAGGGATGGAGATCCATCTTCCATGCCAGCGGACCTCAAAAGAAAGCTGGGGTAGCAATTCTTATATCAGACAAATTAGATTTTAAACTAAAGTCTGTAATTAGAGACACAGAAAGACACTATATCATTCTTAAAGGGTCTACCCAACAAGAAGATCTAACAATTGTAAATATCTATGCCCCCAACATGGGAGCAGCCATCTACATAAGCCAACTGTTAACCAAAATAAAGAGTCATATTGATAACAATACGTTAATTGCAGAAGACCTCAATATTCCACTCTCAGAATGGACAGATCATCTAAGCAGAAAATCAACAAGGAAACAAGAGCTTTGAATGATACACTGGACCAGATGGACCTCATAGATATATGCAGAACATTCCACCCTAAAACAACTGAATACTCATTCTTCTTGAGTGCACATGGAACTTTCTCCAGAATAGACCAGATACTGGGTCACAAATCAGGTCTCAACCGATACCAAAAGATTGAGATTATTTCCTGCATATTCTCAGACCACAATGCTTTAAAACTGGAACTCAATCATAAGAAAACATTTGGCAGACATTCAAACACTTGGAAGCTAAAGACCACTCTGCTCAAGAATGTTTGGGTCAACCAGGAAATCAAAAAAGAACTTAAACAATTCATGGAAATCAATGAGAACAAAAACACATCGGTCCAAAACCTATGGGATACTGCAAAGGCGGTCCTAAGGGGGAAATACATAGCCATCCAAGCCTCACTCAAAAAAATAGAAAAATCCCAAATTCACCAACTAACTCTACACCTTAAAGAACTAGAGAAAAAGCAACAAATGATGCCTAAGCCACGCATTAGAAGAGAAATAATTAAGATTAGAGCAGAGATCAATGAATTAGAAACCAGAAACACAGTAAATCAGATCAATGAAACTAGA